AACCTCACTAATCACCTCACCGACACTATAGAACGCAACACGGAAAATACAAAATTTCAAAAAATTGAAACTGATACTTTAGCACCCCCACCAACACACAGGGTCACATGATTTCATCTCCTGGTGCTCATCATAGCAGAGGTTGTTTTGATAAAGGGCCTCCTCGCATGGGCCGTAGCCCTTTACAGTGTTTCCTTCTTATGTTCTATGACATTCTCAGGTCAGTGCGTCACATCTCACTCTCCGCTTATATATGTCTTTCACCTCTGTATGTTAGAATGATCAAGGTCCCAGGACGAAACGTTTCTATAAATATGTTATGTGTTTGCTTACGTGTCTTTCTAAACGGTTGTGTGTACACCTAGTGAGTTTCAGGGTCGAGTCTAGCTCTGTGTGTGTTTGTGTGTGTGGTGTGTTTGTGTTGTGTGTGTGTGTGTGTGTGTGTGTGTGTGTGTGGGTGTGTGTGTGGGAGGGATGATACCTTGACCCGTGTGTGTGGCTGATTTTTCTTCCCACTTAACTAGATATACATAAGATTGAGGGAATAAGGTACTGCGTTCCCTGTCACCCATCCACTGATAGGTTATCTAGGAATGGAAGCTGTCAGCCGACTGGGTGAGATATCATATGTTGGCGGGACGAAGACCTTTTATCTTTTCCCACCCCTCATTCTCTCCATTATTTTCTTTCCCTTTTACTCTTATCTTCTAACTTTCCCCCTCTTTCCTTGACAGCCACTCTCGCTCAATATTCTCTTTTTAGTTTCCCCTTCACTCCCTCTCGTTTCCTCTTTCACCCTTTCCCTCCATAACTCTTTCCAATCTTCCCTCTCTCCCTCCTTTCCTCTTCCTCACATCTTAACAAATTCCATTTCTCCATCGTGGGAGCGGCCATTGTCAAGTACGTAATATATATTCCACCTCTTCTAGAAGGACACCCCCGGAGACCGCTGCCCCTTCATGCACTAGTTAAAACATCTTCAGTGCCCTACTGAAGTCTCTCGACTCAGACTGACAGACATCATCACTTGATACACAAATAACCCGCACATAAAAGAGAGAAGCTTACGACGACGTTTCGGTCCGACTTGGACCATTGACAAAGTCACACTAACCAGAGGTACGAACGAACGAACGAAAGTTCAGGTAAGATCCCAAATGGGATGAGCGGGGAAGACGGGACAGACGAAGAACAGTGCTGGAGAGGAGTGTTCTTAGTCGTAGAAATAGAGCCAGGGCTTAACCCAGCAGCGAGGCGATCGTGGGACAGATATTGAGAAGAGAAATTCAGGCTCTTCTGTTGGGACTCCGGTGGGGCGAGCGGGAAGGAAGGGACATGCGACGTTTAGAGCTAGAGGTGGAGGTGGACGGCTATATATAGGCAGGAAGAGGTGGTGGTAGTAGTAGTAGTAGAAGTAGTAGTACAAGAGTTGTATATAATACCGACAAGATGAAATTAAGACACATGCACAACACCGGGGCATCCCCATCATAGACGTTTCGCCATCCAGCCAGCCACTGGATGGCGAAACGTCCACAACAAAGACAACTAGACAACCGCACATGTGTCTTAATTTCATCAGTAGTTGTAGTAGTAGTAGAAGAAGAAGAAGAGGTAGTAGTAGTGGTAGTGGTAGAAGTGGGAAATAAAAAGGACGAGCCAGTCAAATACAAAGGAAGGGGAACACTGCAAGAGAGCTAGATGCCCACAGAGGGAGAGCAAGCGCACAGAGGTGCGTGAAAGGGAAGTGGTGAAATAAATGAAGAAGGAACAGAAACACGAGACAGGAGAGAGAAAGACAACCCAGAGGAGAAAGGGGAAGAAGAAGAAGAAGAAAAAGAAAAAGAAAAAATGAGGATTCAGGTTAAGTCACGGGTGTTCTGAAGTTTGGAGCATTTTACAATGTAGTGGGAGAGGAAGGCATCTACAGAGACGAAGCCAGGGCTCAGGTTCATACAAGGAAAGTTGTGTATGAGAGAGGATTCAACTAGACGGCGACTGTTCGAGTTGGAAGTAGGGAAGACAGTTTTAGCAGAAGACCAGTCAATAGGATGGCTATGATCTCTGACGTGACAGAAAAGAGCATTGTTAGTGTCGGCAAGCCTAATACTATTTTTGTGCTCCCTAAGTCTGTCAGAAAGAGATCGACCAGTTTCTTCGAAGTATTGAAGAGGACAGGAGGAGCAAGAAATAGAGTAGACACCAGGGACATCTGTAGAGGGAGGAGAGGTATGAACGAGATTAGTGCGAAGAGTGTTAGTCTGGAGGAAGGTAAGCTTGATGTCTAAGGGACGGAGAGAATTGTTAAGATTAGAAAGACCGGAAATGTAGGGAAGGCAGAGGATAGAAGAGTTCTCATGAGTAGAGAGTTTGGGAGAGAAGAAATTGCGTTTAGCACGTGAGAGGGCAGAGTCTATGAAATGGGAAGGGTAGCCAAGGCGGGAGAACGAATTATGAAGAGTGGAAATTTCTGCTGGAAGGAACTGAGGATCACAGATGCGGAGGGCACGGAGAAAGAGGGAGATAAGAACACTTTTCTTGACAGGGGAAGCATGATAGGAAAAGTAGTGAATGTACATGCCACTGTGCGGTAAACGGAAAAGAAAAAACCTGTATCTGAGCGGTGGACATGGACATCAAGGAAAGGAAGCAAGGAATTAGATTCCCATTCAGCTTTAAACTTAATGGAAGGGGCAAGATTATTAAGAGCTTCAAGAAAAGGTTGGAAGAGACTGGAGTCATGAGGCCACAGAGCAAAGATGTCATCCACATAGCGGAGCCAGGGTAGGAAGAAGAACAGTCTCGAAGTATTCCATGTAAAGATTAGCAAGGACAGGAGAGAGAGGAGAGCCCATAGCGTCCCTCTCACCAATGTCCCTCTTGATGATGTCCTTGATTTCCTTAGAGAGAAGGCCCATGAAGGGTTTCTTCATCTCCCTATCCCCACTGATGTCTTTCTTGATCTGATCCGCCAAGGGAAATATTATTCTCAAACCTTCGGTGTCGCTATGGGCTCTCCTCTCTCTCCTGTCCTTGCTAATCTTTACATGGAATACTTCGAGACTGTTCTTCTTCCTACCCTCGATGTGCAACCTTCACTCTGGCTCCGCTATGTGGATGACATCTTTGCTCTGTGGCCCCATGACTCCAGTCTCTTTCCCAAACCCTTTTTTTGAAAACTCTTAATAATCTTGCCCCTTCCATTAAGTTTAAAGCTGAATGGGAATTATTCCTTGCTTCCTTTCCTTGATGTCCCTGTCCCCAGCTCAGATACAGGTTTTTTTTTCCGTTTACCGCACAGTGGGATGTAAAATTCACTACTTTCCTATCATGCTTCCCCTGTCAAGAAAAGTGTTCTTATCTCCTCTTTCTCCGTGCCCTCCGCATCTGTGATCCTCAGTTCCTTCCAGCAGAAATTTCCATCTTCATAATTCGTTCTCCCGCCTTTGGGTACCCTTCCCATTTCATAGACTCTGCCCTCTCTCGTGCTAAACGCAATTTCTTCTCTCCCAAACTCTCTACTCATGAGAACTCTTCTATCCTCTGCCTTCCCTACATTTCCGGTCTTTCTAATCTTAACAATTCTCTCCGTCCCCTTTGACATCAAGCTTACCTTCCTCCAGACTAAACTCTTCGCACTAATCTCGTTCATACCTCTCCTCCCTCACAGATGTCCCTGGTTTACTCTATTTCTTGCTCCTCCTGTCCCCTTCAATACTTCGGAGAAACGGTCGATCTCTTTCTGACAGACTTAGGGAGCACAAAAATAGTGTTAGGCTTGCCGACACTAACAATGTCTTTTCTGTCACGTCAGGATCTAGCCATCCTATTGATGGTTTTTCTGCCTAAAACTGTCTTCCCTACTTCCAACTCGAACAGTCGCCGTCTAGTTGAATCCTTCTCAACACAACTTTCCTTGTATGAACCTGAGCCCTGGCTTCGTCTCTGTAGATGCCTTCCTCTCCCCCTACATTGTAAAAAAGCTCCAAACTTCAGAACACCCGTTGACTTTAAACCCGAATCCTCATTTTTTTTTTTTTCTTTTTCTTCTTCTTCCTCTTCCCCTTTCTCCCTGGGTTGTCTTTCTCTCTCCTGTCTCGTGTTCTGTTCCTTCCTCATTTATTTCACCACTCCCTTTCACGCACCTCTGTGCGCTTGCTCTCCCTCTGTGGGGATCTAGCTCTCTTGCAGTGTTCCCCTTCCTTTGTATTTGACTGGCTCGTTTCCTTTTTTTTTCCCCTTCTACCACTACCACTACTACTACCTCTCTTCTTCTACTATACTACAACTACTGATGAAATTAAGACACATGTGCGGCGTCTGGTTGTCTTTGTTGTGGATGTTTCGCCATCCAGTGGCTGGCTGGATGGCGAAACGTCTATGATGGGGATGCCAGGGTGTTGTGCATGTGTCTTAATTTCATCTTGTCGGTATTATATACAACTCTTGTACTACTACTTCTACTACTACTACTACCACCACCTCTTCCTGCCTATATATATATAGCCGTCCTGCTCCCCCTCTGGTTAGTGTGACTTTGTCAATGGTTCAAGTCGGACCGAAACGTCGTCGTAAGCTTCTCTCTTTTATGTGCGGGTTATTTGTGTATCGTTCCAGTCACGGTATTGTGGCTTTTTTGTTATCATCACTTGATGTCTGTCAGCTGGATATTGTTCCCCCTGTGTAACTGACATATAGAACAGGTAGCAGCACACTGCTGATATATCCAATCTCAATTTTTTTTTCTTTTTCGCTTTGCCCTTTCCTCCTATGTCCTTCCCTTTCTAACTTCTTCTTACCGTCTCCCTATTTCTTTCCCGAACTTTGGTGATGAGAGTCGCTACTTTCCTCATTAAATAGCAATTACCTGGAGTATACCTGGAGGGTGTTCCGGAGGGGGAGGGTCAATGCCCCCGAGGCCCGGGACATGACCAGGCCTCGCCGTGGATCAGGGCCTGATTAACCAGACTGACTGTTACTGCCTCTTTCCCCTCTCACAGGATCTATCACCTGACTGGGAAGATCTTAAGCAACCCTGAGGAAATAGTTAACCATGGAAGGTACGTGGCCGCCTCTTCCAACGAGCTCTTCCGCAAGGCCATGTACGGTGACATGGCCAAGGAGGAGAAAGACGTTGGCACCGGCTACAAAGGTAAGACTTCAGCACCGAATACGTAGATAAAACTCTGGCATTTGCCATGAAGGTAAAACCGACAGCACAGGAAGCATAGGCAAGGCTTTGCCACCCAAAACAAAGACGATGGAACCCGTTGCAAAGGTAAGAAATTATGCAGAGAGTAAGCCGAGAGGAAGTTAGACGGTAATCGTAGGTTAATGAAAGAACGTATTGCCAAGAATGAATGAGAGATCACACTATCGTGGCTGGAACAGTTCACCAAAACCTCGCACATAGGAGAGAAAGCTTAGGACGAGGTTCGGGTCTGTCCTGGACCATTGTTAGTTTTGACTTGACAGTGGTGTAGGATGGACCAAAACGTTGTCGTAAGGTTTCTCCCATAAGCGAGAATTTTTGGTGAGTGGAACAAGACACAAGCTGTAGAACAAGTCTGTATATGGCACAACGTTTAACATAACATTATAAAGCACTACACAGAGCGAAACGTTGTCCCAGTGAAAGCAGCTTGTATCTGTCTTCACAAGGTACTCGTATATTAACAGACAAAAACGATGATAATAAAGTATCGTAGTAGTAGTAGTAGTACTAGTAGTAGTAGTAGTAGTAGTAGTAGTAGTAGTAGTAGTAGTAGTAGTAGTAGTAGTAGTAGTAGTAGTAGTAGTAGTAGTAGTGTAGTAGTAACAGTAGTAGCCACATAACCTGAACCTCTCCAAGTGACGACTAAATACAATTCTAACAACACTTGTGTCAACTTTGCAGGCAGCAAGTATTACAAGGAGCATTTGAATACTAGGAGAAACACTCGGGCGTCCTTACAGGGCCAGACGGGAGACAAGAGAGCCAAATCACTTGGAAGAAAGGTGCTAAAAAAGAAATCGGATCATTTACAAAAAGTGGAGGAGGTGGAAGGCAAAGAGGAGACAGCAGTGAAAGCAATAACAGGTGTGGAACACCCATGGAGAGAACATGAGGAAAAGGAAGGTGATATGGAAGAGAATGGGATGGAAGCAATACCAGAGGAAAGTGAACACCAATGGAGAGAATATGAGGAAGTGGAGAAGGAAAATGACGAAGGTGATGCGGAAGAAAAAGGGGTGGAAGCAATACCAGAGGAAAGTGAACACCCATGGAGAGAATATGAGGAAGTGGAGAAGGAAAATGACGATGGTGATGCGGAAGAAAAAGGGGTGGAAGCAATACCAGAGGAAAGTGAACACCCATGGAAAGAACATGAGGAAGTGGAGAAGGAAAATAATGAAGGTGATATGGAGGAGACAGCAATGAAAGCAGTACCAGTGGAAAGTGAGCACCCATGGAGAGAACATGAAGTGGAGAAGGAAAATGACGAAGGTGACGGGGAAGAGACAGGGATGGAATCAATACCAGAGGAAAGTGAACACCCATGGAGAGAACATAAGGGACTGGAAAACGAAGATGAAGGTAACGTGGAAGAGAAAGGGTACGAGGAAGAAGACGGAGAAGATGAAGATGGTGAAGGTGCAAGAAGAAAGAAGGAAGGACCAGCAAGTAGTTCTCATGGAAGGTTAGTGTCTCAGATTTGGCTTCAGAAGTCTGTGTAAATTACCTGTTACATAGCGTCTAGTTTATCACCTAGTCTCCAGTGTATATAATGTAGATGGTCTTTGTATTTAATAAAACCTAGACACCTTTGATGGGTTTTAATAATTACATTGCATGAAAATTATTGAAATCTTTTATATTACTCTGTGTTGAGTT